CCTGAATATTGTTGTATCATACCTTGTGAAGGCAGCCTTAAAGAAAAAATGTTCCAGATGTTTACTGAGCTGTCCCAGTTTGGTGCTCCAAGTAAAAGTAAAGCTATCCCTGTAACAGGCCGTGAAGGCCCATAGGGTTGTGAGACGTTGAGGGTCCCACATTATCTAGACAGTTGGCTCAAAGATGGCGGTAAAGTTGTCAGCCTTACACGCTGATTGTGCTTTACTCCCCAGGAAAATTATTTAATTAATTCCTGGTATTCATTTCTGTTAGAGGCTGAGTCGTCCCCAGGGCCATAGTGCAGCTGGAAGGATTAGGTCAATTGAAAAAAGCCCAATGACCTCATCAGGACTTGAACCCGCGAACTTCTGGCTTGTAGTATAATGCCTCAACCAACTATGCTACCGTGTGCCCCCTTGGTGCTCCAAGGGGTCATTGCAACAGCAAACTTTTGTTGAAACATATTATCAACAGATTATTTCAGAAATTAATTTATATATGTCATATTCGTGAAGGTCTTTGAAAAATTGTAATGCAGTAACTGGAGACCATAAACTGGTTTTGACCACTTTAAGGATACATATCTGCCTTAAGAGCACCCATGAGAGTAAGGTATCATATTTAACAAACGCCATTTGTCTCTAAATAAATCTGTTGAGTGTTGCAAGAATAGGACCAGTAGCTATAGAAGTTCCAGGTGTGGGAAAATGTAGAGTTTTAAATGATACAGTGAAAAGGGCATGTAGACTACAGATGTGGCAGATTATCTGTGAGTATTGTTAACCTACAAAAGTGCTTATTCTAGCCAGTCTTGGTACAGGAAGGGAGGGACAGATGGGCAAGTGATCCTTCCTTGTACTATCAGATGTGAAATTATTAAATTACTGTGTGAGTGTTAGGGTGTGTGCTTGCATTGCTAACATTCTGTAATTCCTCCAGTTCACAAAATACAGTGCAGAGCAACAGTGAGTGTATCAAAATTCTGCTGATTATTTCAAGATTGAAAGGAAAATTTACACTTGCGGACACAAGAAGTACTAATAATGCAATGACTCATGAAAGCTGAGGCAAGAAATTAAGAACCATTCATTCTGATCGAGAAAGCACAGCTGCAAACAGGAGTGTCTTATGCTATGGTGCAGGAAATTAAAAGAGATGTGAACAGGCTAGATGTTGCAGAAGAAACTTCATTCTCAACACCTGCCCCTCCTAAAAAAAGAAGTTGAATACCGACTAGATGGATTTGATGAAGCTGTAGTTTGTAGAACTGGTTATAACATCTGTATTACCAAAAAACATGCTCCAACTGTTGAAACCCTTCAGCGAAAACTAAAAGATGACATATACTTTTAAGGCTGTAATACCACATTAAAAGAAATTCTCAGTACATGGGATTTTAGGTGGTATCAGAGTGCATTCTTTTGATTGAGAAGATGGATATCCATGATAAGAGAATAGACTAACGTGTGTTTGGGGATTCAGGAACGAAAACTGTCACATAATATACATAAATGAGTTGTAAATGTTATCCTTGCATGATGAATGCAAGGCCTGGAGTGACAATTCTGCGAATGAATTGCCTACACCTGTGTGTAAATGATATGTCTCATCATGAGTCCTGAAGGGGTGAGAATGGTCTTGTTCCGTAAGCTCTTGCAATGTGGAAATCACGTCAGACTGCAGGGGATTATTACCACAGCATAAATTACTACATTGGAGAGAAATGGGCGAAGGAGAAACTTGTATGAAATCTTTCTACCAAATGTGTTGTGATAAATAATGCGCCATGTCACAACTTAAAAAAATAAATACGATTCCAGCATCCAACTCTACCAGAAAGGAAATGCAACAGTAGTTAGTTAGTTATTGGAGAGGGTGGGTTTCCCCATGCACTGAGACCTGTATTGGTCCATTGTGCTTCCCTCTATGATTTCTACCAGTCTCTATATCCTACTGGTACTGGTGCTTACCATTAGTCCTGCCCAGCCAGCGAGACCGGCTCTACTAGCTGAGAGGTATCTATAATGCTTCCCCCATCTACCAGAGGTATTAGAGACTGCTGTTGGGTGGGAAACATCCGTAATTTGGCTCAGTGACCTCCTTTGGAGATATGAGGTTCTTTTACATGCCGTAAAGCTACGACACGGGACCCACAGCTTAAAGTCCCTCCCGGAGGACTTGTTCCCTGAATTTTTCTGCCCTTAAAAATTCGACGACCTCTGCTGGGTATTTGAACCTGCGTACTAAGAGTCATGAGGTGGGAACGTTACCTCTAGACTACAGAGGCTGCTATACAACAGTAGTTACAAAAACAGAATATTTCATTGGCTGATGATATGGTTAAACCCACATTACATCAGCTCATTGAACAGTACATGCTGCATAAAGTACAGGACCTGGTGTATAAGATATGTGAAAGTCATGGAGAGACAGCACTCGATCTGCCACCCTATCGGCCCAATTTAAAGTAAAAAATATCTGGGCAAATGTTACGGATCACATTGCATCAATAAATGCTCTTGTAATATGGGTGATGTGAAGTGTCTGTGTGAAACATGGCATGATGTGGTCCGAGTAGACTGGAGGCCACTCAGTGAGCATGTGAAGAGGGTGGAGTTGACAGGGATGCACATTTTAGCAGTGTAGTTGAGTCTGTGTTAATTTGGGAGGTGTGGAGAGTGACGACAATGTGAGCAATGAAGAAGACAGCAGCTCAGACACAGGACGACATAATGGGTGGCACCACTTAGCCACAAGTAGTAACTGATGCGAGTGGTGAGTAGTCAAGAGTTTTCAGTTATACTTTACACACTTTGACTTGGAGCTTCTCCCCATTTTGAACCTGCTGTATCCATCAACTGTCTTCCTTAGACTATGTTTTGGCTAGGCAGCTCAGGCTCTTGAGTTATTCATGTCCAAGTTACCACCCAAATAAAAAGTCAATTTTGGGTTGACAGTTCTGTGTTAGAACTCTGTAGCTCTTCTCTTGTTGCTCAGATCGTTTCTGTGGGAACATGTTTTACTTATGAAGGCGTTCCCCAGTAATTGCTGTGGCATATGTCCTTTCTCTTGACCTTTGCCTAGTAATGGCTCCACATGTTACAATATTTTTTATTGTTACCCATGATGGACCTTACTACTTATTCACATGTTTAGAGGTGTAATGGCTCAAGATGTCTGTTATAAAGATATGCTGAATTGTTGAATATTTAGTATCTAACTGACAAGAGTGTCATCAGCTGAGTGCAGGTAGCTTCCCAGGCCATACAGTGGCTGAGTGCAGGTAGCTTCACAGGCCATACAGTGGCTGAGTGCAGGTAGCTTCACAGGCCATACAGTGGCTGAGTGCAGGTAGCTTCCCAGGCCATTCAGTGGCTGAGTGCAGGTAGCTTCACAGGCCATACAGTGGCTGAGTGCAGGTAGCTTCACAGGCCATATAATAGCTGATGCAGGTAGCTTCCCAGGCCATACAGTGGCTGAGTGCAGGTAGCTTCACAGGCCATACAGTGGCTGAGTGCAGGTAGCTTCCCAGGCCATTCAGTGGCTGAGTGCAGGTAGCTTCCCAGGCCATACAGTGGCTGAGTGCATTCTCATTTCATCTGCTAAGTTCTCCCACTACATATAAGAGTTTGGTTGTTTCAAGGTTGTCATTTTGTGTACAAATGTTGAAAACGTTATGATGATGTGTGTGTATGTATGTGTATGTCTTAAAGCAATGAAATTCTTCCCATTTGTTCATTTAATAAGAATTCTCTATGGTGTTGATGTTGAGCATATTTTTCTTCTTTTCTGAAATAAGGTACTAATTATGTTATATTTTAGCGTCCTGTTGCACTGATTCATGTCCATGATGTGTATTTTTGCTAACCGTCTTACAGTGCACACAATTTCACCTTTCTCTTCACTTTTACACTACATGTTTCGGCACTAATGTGCCATCTTCAGGTGTGTGTCTATCCACGTCAACTACTGGACTGCATGCCATCACGTCTCCATCATAAAATGACTAAAATGTGTATTCGTCGTGTATAACAACAAATTCTAAATACTAAAACCTTTCAGGATTCGTCATCCATACGTTGTATCTCAAATACGCAAGTCACGCCAATCCTCCTCTGTGGGAGCGCTCTTCCTATATTCATGTGTATATTGGTCTGTGTTGTGTCCTTTTCTTGTGACTGCGTGCATTGTACTCACAAGAAAAGGACAGTTGAGTACAGAGATTACAGAGTGACTGAAGACAAGAAGACTTCATAGTGATTTGAAATGCTAGTTTCTGTTTCGAGATCTGTTGTTAGGAGATGACTAGTACAAACTGAGAATTCTAGTGCGTGTGCAACGGTGAATTGGAAATAGTGTAAATGAGGGGATAGCACTGTATTAATTGTAATTAAGAGAGAGAGTGTAACAGAAGTGCCGATAAATCCAATCATCTAATCTAGAACCCATTATTTTTGTCATGCTTAGCACCCTACATGTGAAATTTTCCCTTCTTCATGACACCAAGTTCAGAGATACGAAACCTACAAACTTCTCTCTGGAATTAATGATACCCAGTAAAGGTAAGGTGAATATCTTTTGTATGTATGTGTGTGAGAACTACTGTAAGACTTGAAAATTCCTTAACACGTTCAATCCAGAGGTATTAAATTGTTATATCCAACATGCAAGAAGGTTTTAGGAAAGAATTAAGAATTAATATCCTTATTAAGTTTTGGGGTGACTCTGAAATTTACTGGAGTCAGTGAGGCATATTGAGCTAGGCTGTCATATAATTTGGTTCACGCATAGAGAATGGTGTATTCTTGTGATTATTCATAAGCGTAAAGTTTGACAGCTTCTTAACTCCAGCCCCTTCCTCCATCTGCACAGTATCTTAAGATGAAAATGCTGGAACTCTCGAAGGTTAAGGTATAAGAGAGAGAGAGTCTTCATTTTGTGTTACACCAATTCTTTAATTGAAAATTTAATGATTCAATCTTACATTTGTTGTTGTTTGTTATGAAATGTTCAAGAAATCTCTTTAGTTACACAGTATTTCAAAATGTTTAATAGTCTGTGGTAGACCTGTATACAATTTTCCCCTTCTTCACCACAATGTCGATCAGATGCTGATGGGACCCAAGCTGATAAATAATGTGTTCCCATCTGTAACAGAACCAGTGAAGGTACTTACTGTAACTTAAAGGATGGTTCACTGCAATTTATATCAGATTTGGTAAGAGGTATATTTAGATACAGTTAATTTTTGGATTCAAATTGGCAAAATTGATCATAACTCAGATGTTTCCTAGAGATTTTTTATTTGTAATAAAGTAGTGGTTTCAGTATGTATGCCAAGACTTCAGTAATTTAATAAAGGCATTAAGAAATTATTGATCCTTATGATATGGGATTTTAGGCATTAACATGTCATGGTATGTGATTCTACACTTGATATTCAGTTGAGAAATCATCCTTCATAAGCTGATAGTCACTCAGTTGGATAAAAAGTCCATGCTTTTTATGGAATCTGAAGGTCAGTCACTAGACTGTACCCTTATCCAGATGAATTCATTCCACACGCATACTTCTTTAAGGTCTATTTTAATTCTGCCTACACTCCTTTTTAGGTTTTCCAACTAAAGTTTTTATGCATTTCTCATCTCCCACTGAGGTAGGTCAGTCCATATCCTAATGGGGGATGCGAAGAGGGCCCTGTCCCCCCCCCTCATTTTTATATGTGATCTGGACCATTCTATAATTCAGTCCCACATTCCTACAGCTCTAAACGAGCAACTGTCTGTGGCCCAAATTTCATCTTCTTACTCCCTTACCCAGACAGGGGATTCAGCAGTGCTGAAGACCCAAAGAACACACAGTAGCATATTATACCTCATCTAGCCAACCTGCTGAAAGAGGTCAAACAAACCTCCTCCATGAGGTGGAAGCAAATAGAATGTAAAGGACAATGTGAATATTACAGAATACACTAAAAAAGTACCAGAACCAGAAAACTGATGACTAGGGTATCAACTCAGTAACACATCCTGTTGTGTGTGTGTGTGTGTGTATATATATACTGTCAACACAACAAATAAGCTCAGCTCACCGGCACATTTGTGTCAATTGAGTTTATTAACTATGTTAAAATTACGTGACATGTTTCGGCTCACTTGGAGCCAATATCAGACGATACACTGTTTAAAGCTATAAAAATTAAAGAGTAATTATAATTAGTATGGATCCATATTACAAATTATGTTATAAAATAATTTAACATATTTCATTTATATCGTTATTTGCACAGGTAAACTCAGTCTTATATTTTGGTTGTATTAAAATAGTGTCAATCTTCATAAAGTTGGTACATGCAATAATGTTAGATAAGATTTTTAAGTATGATTTTTAGTACATATTAATCTCATTTTCTATTATCAAAACAGTGTGCTATTGTATATATCAATAGTACATAACCTGTGTTGAATTTTATAGCTTTAAATAGTTGTATTGCCTGATGATGGTTCTAAGTGAGCCGAAATGTGTCGCATAATTTTAACGTAGTTAAAAACTCAATTGACACATATGTGGTGATTAGTTAATTACTTATTTGTTGTGTCAACAGTTTTATATATATATATAAACATTTCTGGACAATTCAGGAATGGTGCATCCTAAGGGGGTACTGTGGCTAGTTTCCACTTAATTTTTGAAGACAAAAATTTGATCACAAAGCAGTATATATATGGCATTTATTATTTCCTTAAAGGTAGGTCAATGAAGAAACAGTGTTTCAAAAATATTACTCACATATGTAGTTTGCTTTAACATATGTGATAATGAAAAGCAAGAAAAAACACTGCATTTTGTTAAGCTTGGTTGCCAGGGCTACATGAAACGAACCGTTCACAGTATTAAATGGTGTTTGGATAAGAGGGTTTCATCACATTGTAATAGTCGAGAGAAGGTAGTGTATTAGAAGAAAACAGTCTTTTAGGATGTGGCGCCCTGTAGATATTGTATTAACCGATGTTTCGGAGGAACGTATCACCTCCCTCTTCAGGGTGGAAGAAAGAAGAAGAAAATCCGCAAGTGAAGACCAGTGTGACTAACAGACACCTGCTCACGCTAGTTCTTTGCTTGTGGATTTTCTTCTACCCTGAGGATGGAGGCGATACGTTCCTCCGAAACGTCGGTTAACACAATATCTACATGGCATCACATCCCAGAAGATTGCTTTCTTCATAGTCACCGCTGTGAAAACCTCAAATCTTACAAGGTAGTGCATTTGTTCAGGAAGAAAGGTTCTCTACTGCAGTGTAAACAAATCTCTGGGGGCTAACATACACTCGCAATATAACTTCCTAGTATTTTTTTGAAACCTGAAGGTTCATTACTGTGTTCACAAGAGCCCTCCACTAGTCCCTATCCTGAGCCAGTTCAATCCAATCCATACTGTCCTATCCGTCTAAGATCCATTCTAATATTGTCCAACCACCTATGCCTTGGTCTTGCCAGTGGTCTCTTTCCTTCTGGCCCTCCCTCCAGTTTCCTATATGCATTCATCTCCCATTCGTGCTACATGCCATGCCCATTTCATCCTCATTAACTTCACAGGTTATGAAGTGCCTCCTTGTACAATTTTTTCCACCCTTCTGTCATTTCATCTTTCTGCGGCCTAAATATTCTTCTCAGTGCCCTGTTCTCAGACACCTTCAGTCTATGTTCCTCCCTTAATGTCAGAGACCAAGTTTCACACCCATACAGAACCACAGGCAAAATTATAGTTTGTATATTCTAATTTTTATGTTTTTAAACAGCACATGAGAAGACAAAAGGTTCTGGACTGAATGGTAGCAAGCATTACCTGAGTTCACTCTCCTCTTAATTTCTTCCTGAATCAGGTTCTGATTTGTTATCCTTGTTCTCAAATATCTTAACTGTGCCACATTTTCAAATCATTTGTTACCTATCTTTATGTCATGATCTTGTTCTGAATTTTGGTGATGAGACAGCTGCATATACTTAGTTTTCTCTGTGTTTTCTTATAGACCAACCTCCTTACTTGTGTCATTTAAAGTTGTGTTTTTATGGTTTCTATATTAACACCCAGTAGACTCACATCGTCGGCACAGACCAACAGCTGATGTGTCCTGTTTAATTTCAGTCCCCCTTGATTTCCTGGATCTTCCTAATGGCATATTTTAAAGCAAAGTTGAAGAGGAGTGGAGATAAAGCATTAGACCATTCTGGATAGGAAAATTATCAGACAAATGTTTACCTATACAGACTTTATTATAAGTTTCGTTTAATCACATTTTAATCAGCTTAACTGGTTTCATGGGTATCCCAAACTCTATCAGAATATTGTACAATACTTCCCTCTTAACTGATCATAGGCTTTCCTGAAGTCTATGAATGGCTGATGTACTGTCTCGTTGTACTCCCATTTTTTCTCCAATATCTGACGAATGCAAAAGATCTGATCTGTAGTTGAATATTGGATAAAATTTTATATGAAGTTGATAGCAGTGATATCCCCCGATAATTACTATAGTCAGTTTTATCACCCTCCTTGTGAACTGTACAATAATAGACTCCTTCCACTGGTCAGGCAATTTTTCCTTATGCCAAACAGAAGTAATTAGCTTGTGGATCTTTGAACGTAACATTTCTCCTCCTGCTTGAATAAGTTCTATCACAATTTGATCACTACCTGGCGATTTATACCGTTTCAATTTTGCAATAGCACTTTAAACTTCAAAAGGGCTATGATCAGGTACTGACAGCTTAGCTGTATGGATTTCTGTCTGCCTGATATCACTGACCCTATGTACATTCAATAACTGAAAGAAGTAGTTCCTCCACCTATTCAAAATGTTGTGGAAATCTGCAAGCAGATCACCATTCTCATCCTTCACTAAGTTACTGCTAGGTTGGTAACCCTTCTTAAAGTCATTTATTCCTCTATAGAGGTCTCTAATGTTCTTATTCTGACTGTTCATTGCAAACTCATCAATTTTGTCTTTCAGATATACCCTCTTTTTGTTCCTGAAGTGCCTGCTAGTTTCACATCTTATATTGTTCAGATTATCCCCATTTAACTTGCTTGGATCCTGTAACCACTGTAATTTGGCCTGCTTTCTTTGGTCTAATAATTCTGAGCATCCTTCATTGAACCTTGACTTATGCTTGTTCAGTTCATAATAACCTAGACTCTCTTTGGCAGACATTTTTATATTCTCTCTAATAGTTTCCCAAAGCTTTATTAACATCCACCTCAGTGTCCAAGTTTTCAAAAGCTGCAAACCTGTTTCAGATTTCAACATGATACTGCTCTTTACCCTCTTATTATTATTATTATCATCATCATCATCATCTCCTCTTGTCACAGGTTTATTTCCTGATATTCCTTTTCTTGAACCAGTGATGCACCTCACCACTCAGGCTTCAAGCTTCGCACTGTAGCACTTTCCGTAGTATGTGTGATGTTCCCAGGATAGCTGTTTTTTGCAGTGAATCTGTGGCGTGCTTACCAGGAATTAGTTCCAAATATTTTCTCAACCCTCTCGTGACTGTACCTGTGGCTCCAATAATTATTGGTATCACAAAACATTTCATGTTCCACATTCGCTGAATNATTCAGCCAGCGAGGCTAGCTGTGGTACCCGATGCTTCCCCCATCTACCGGAGACATTGGAAACTACTTGGGCTGAAACGTTTTACCTAATCTTGCTCAGAGGTCTGCTAGAGACATGAGGATCTTTTACGTGCTGTAAATCTACGACATGGGACCCACGGCTTAACCCCTTGAGCGTGACTTTAAGCGGAGCCATTTAAATCCCTAAGCGTGTGCGACGCACCGGCTGCATCTGCTCAAACCCGTGCTGTAAGCGTGCGCGCCGCATATGTTTCATCCAAACTTTTCACTAAGAATGCTTAACGCCTACGCTCTGATATATGTACTTCCAGTGAATGTATATATGAGCTAATAGTGACTTCTTTCATTCTTCGCTATCTGTTTGTGCGTGGTATTTTTTTTACTCGCTTTGCTTGGGACAAAGCATCTGGTGTCTGCTGCTTGCAGAAGAACTGTTCCCACTCACACTCCGACTTGCTTTCAGAGAGATAATTTGTTAGCTAACTTTCATTGAGTTCTTGTTATCTGTGTTACTATATTTTTTTACTGGCTTGGCTTACTGGCGACAAAACAGCTGTGTCTGATTTACGATGTTACGAACCTAGGGGTCGAAGTTGCCTGACGCCTGTGTCAACATTTATGAATAGCGGAGCTCAATGGCATCTCGGTCACGTAACTTATCTGGCGGCACAGTTTCTTGCCCCTAACGCAAATAAAATCACGCTTTCAAAAGTGGGTTCCCACAATTTCGAATGAAATTAAGGTATTCCTAGGTTTGTGTATGC